GAAAGATGATACCTTCTTCTTCTTCTTCTTCTTCTTCTTCTTCTTCTTCTTCTTCTATATGTCGTATCTCTTCAAGACGTGGGTGATCATGACTCTCTACAACTTCCTATCTCTTGTAGCTCTTTTCCCCTTTGCCAAGCCTACCTGTTTCGTCATCCATTGACAAAAGCTCGACAGTTTGGTTTCTTGTGCCTACTTCTATCCTTCTTGTTCTCGATATGACTTGTGAGGATTAAGTTTTCCAAAACCTCCTTCCTCGTTATTTACCCAAGAAATTTAGGATAACTTTAAGAGCGTGAAAAACAAAGAAAATTCGTTGGTGAATAAATAATGATGCTATGAATTTATATGAATAAAAGATGTTGAGAAAAACTGTAAGGAACATTGATTTTTGCTTAATAAGCAAGCCAGACTCTTTCATAGATAATTATCAAATTCCTTTCTTAATTCACTCTGAAGGAATTTCTTTCTATATCTTTCACTTCTATTCTAAGGAAAACACATATTTTTTCTCTTTTATCAAAGATTAAAGACTTTCTGTAAATAAAAAAGGACATCTCTGAGGATACATCAATATTACATTTACAGTACGAAAATGTTGTAAATTGCTCCTTTACATTTTAATCATCCCCCACCCTAGTAACGTGTTGTCTGTACTGAACGACCGGCATCGTAAATATGGTTGCCACCAGATATAAGTAGCTTTTAAAGAATATTTTCAGTCTGGCAAGTCGCCCATTCTTTTTCTGGCTTATCTTTGTACAGCAAACAGCTTTTCTGTAAAGTAATTTTCGAGACAGTTTGGGTACATATTCTGGGCGGAATAAGATAAAATTAACTGCGGTGTAAGATGTCGTCTGCTATTTTTAATTATTGTAGAAGGACATTAAGAATGGATATCTGCAAGTGTAATTATGCAAGTCAATTCTGATTTAGCTGATCTAAATGTAGATATACAAAATTTCAATAAGTACAATAGACTACATGTAAAACTTCCAAAATAAGCGTGTAAATCGATCAGCGCAGAGTATATTAAGCATGAATGTTGAATCGTTTACAGGAGATTGAAATTACCATTTACGTATTTTTTAAATAAACATACGCAACTAAATGCCATATATATATTGGAGAAATCTTTTTAAAAGAATATACTGCTTATTTTAAAGTAAGTGTATAAATAAATTATTTTGTTAACCTCTTTCTCTCCAAACGAACACACTTTAAGCATTATTATTATTATTATTAGACAAACAAATAATTAACGTCACTTTTCCACAAGTTTTTAGAGAAGAGAGTGATTTAAGAAAAGACAAAAGAAAGAGACAATGTTTAACTATGTTTAAACAATATTTCGACAGTGTCTTTTAATGGTTTTGTTTTCCTTTGAAAATATATGTCCTCATTTTTATTCGGTGAAACATTATGCGAACCATGATTTTAATTTACTTCATATTAACAAACAAAATGATTGACGTAACTCTTCCAATATCTTTGTACACTTAGAGATAAAAAGATGGTCATTTTTTTCTCGATATATCTATCACAAAATCTGCATTTGGAGACCGACACAAGTTTTCAGTTTATTATTATTATTATTATTATTATTATTATTATTATTTGATTTAATTTTATATCTTAACCGACTCTTAGATGTTTCGCAAGGCAGCTTAGAGAACTAACACATTATTTAACCCATGAGCTGTTCCAAGTAGTGTTGCTATCTACACACTTCCGATGAGGTATCCCCAAGGCTTCCAGCATAGCAGAATGGACCCTGGAAATAGTCCCAAGCGTGTTAACCACAGAAGGGACAATTTGAACTGCTATTTGGTATAGTTCTTCTGATTTGCCTTGACACGTCTTTGTATCTCTGTATTTTCACCTGATCTGCCCTCATTATTATTATTATTATTATTTAGTGAGAGGGTAGCTTGTCAAGAAAGTGACTCTGGGGTGCAAATAGATATAATAAGACCATGTAATCTAGAGCGTTCAGACGTTCTCCGATTGAGGGTGTTCCCAAGTATGTAGAGGTGACTCATAAATTCACCTAGGTTGTCTCATTCTTCAAACTTAAAACACACCCCATTTCGCAATACGTGAGCTGTACTCATTAATACAATCTTTTGTATTACAGATCAAAATAGATCTCCTGGGATATTATTTTAACGTTCATATCTGTATCCCTTTTGATAATTCCTAGTGCTTCTGCTATTTAATACCGACTGTATTGTAGTTTCTATTTGAACATTTTTGTATTTAGAGAGTTTATCTAATTCTTTCACCGAAACATTTTTATCAGACAGTATAATTATATTAATGAAATAGACTTTAAGTTTTTGGTATCATTTAAGAATATCTGAATTTTTAGCCTTTATAGTTCGGTTGGCATATATATGAATTCCCAGAGGCAAGCAATAGCAATCCATTCTAGAACTACTGGTGATTATTATTCATACATTTTTCTATTATGATAATATATTATGATATTAGTTTATTTACCAATGATGTTCGTGCCCACCTTTATCAATTTAAAATTTCATTTGATGTTAGGATAGAGCATTTGGTCAATCGTTTCTTCAGCATGCAACAACACTTTGAATCCATGACATTCCTTACAATACGTGTTTGTTATGATCTTGTTTACAGACGTTAATCTTGTGCTGCCAGGATAAACGCTTCTGTTTCAGACTATATCCCAGAGCTATGTAATCACTAGTGGCTCAGATTTTTGTGAAGATTAGAGTATTGTACACGGAATGGTTACCGGTCTTAGATGTCTATAAGTTGACGTTGTCTTTAATTTTTGTTTTTTGTTTAATTATTTCGCCTCATTTATTTGCTATTTCGCATTATATTTCGTCTTGATCGTTTAGTTGCCGATGTTGTTTGAATATTTTACTATCTTTAATGACTGGATGGAACATTTTAGTTGGTTCGATCTTTAACATAAAGTCATTTATTCACTTTTTCAAAGCGAATGCTTTGGTCTTATATAAAAAACTTGGATCAATCCTCTAAGTCAAGTTGTCTGTACCGACAATTTATATCTGCTTTGGAATGTTGCATTTCATATGCTTAAATGTTTTCTCAGTTCTCTCTTTGAACTTCTGTTTTCCTCTGACATATAGTGAAAAAATTATATTGAAGAAAATTGTTCCCCTCTGTCAGGCTAGACATTTTTTTCCCGCCAGAATCTATCTTACACATTTATACGTCTATCGTTCGCCCTTGCTTTGAATCTGGCCGCCATATATGGTCTGGTTCTCCTGCTATATATTTAGAAATTTTTGATAAATGCAAAAAAAAAAAAAAGAATCTGCAATGTTATTTGTTCTGACCTGGCATCTTGCCTTCAGTCCCTTTCCCTCCGCCGCAATGTAGCTTCAGTTTGCTTTTTTCTATAAATACTTTTATCGTAATTGTTCTGATGAACTTTCCTTTATGGTGGTCAGTGATGTCAGTTCGCTGGTGGATGCGGGCGCCTTTCGTTTTTTCGCGTGAGTGCTTATTTCGTATTTGTTGTTGTGTCTGAATGAGTGCATATCAGTGTGAGTGATTGGGATGAATGAATGGTTCATACTATTATAGTCCCGCATTGATTTCGGCCAGTGAAGTGATGTTTCTGTCACATTTAGTAATTGTGGGGGGTTTTATTACTAATCTGATTTTCTTTAGTTTCTTGTAAATAGTTTTTTGTATGCATATTGTAAATACTCATTGGGGCTAACTTTTAGAATTGTTGTTTTTCCTTTCCCCCCCCCACAGACAACGAATTGTAAATATGGGGACTAGATAGTATTTTCATAGAGACAAAGAGGTATTATGGTGGTTGCAGTAAGAAAGGTACGAATGAATGTGTTGTTTTGGTGTAAGGAATATTGTTTCGTACGATTGGGTCAGTGTTTGCCGCTAGCTAAGTTCTAGTTAAGACAGAAGAAGACCGTCCTTTCCCCAATCCTCTTTTTCGGCCTTGTGCCACATTTCTGTATTAAACAGAATAAATATCACTTTCCTTTATGGTACTTAATTTAAGCGCAGTACTAGATTGGCAGTAAGGTCTCATTATTTTACAATTGAAATGACTAAATTCTGTGCTAACTCTTTCTTCTCTCGCATTTCTCACTAGTAGAACTCTCTTCCGGCTTCTTACTTCCCAGTCAAGTTTGATCTTCAAATATTTAAATGCAATGTCAATCGTTATCTTCTGTCTCCTTCATTCTTGTTCATTTATTGTTCTCTCTTATTAATAACTTTTTTCTCATATTATTTCACACTCAGTAACCCCTTGTGCCTTTGTGACTTTGTTGCCTTGATTGGGGTGAAATGATTAAAGAAAAGCAGTAGGTATTGTAAAAGTATTAACAATTCCAACCTAATACGTGTTTGTTATGATCTTGTTTACAGACGTCAATCTTGTGCTGCCAGGATAAACGCTTCTGTTTCAGACTATATCCCACGATTTATATCGAATAAAGCAGTGAAATTTAGATCCGTTTGTCTATCGTTCGAATTCGTCTAAAACAATCGTTGCTGATTTTTTTTCTTTAATTTCTATCTTTTGAATCTCTTGCCCTTTACTGAATCGAAGATATTTATCAACTCTTTTCTGATTCACTTCACATATCACGGGGTTATCAACTTTTACTTCTATTGTCTGTCCCAATGCCTCTCTTTTAAAAGATGCTTAGCTTCTTATTATTTTTGAACGACATTTTTTTCTTCAGCAACATCTTGTTGATTTGGTCGGTCGATTCGTCTTTACGGCTTATCAACCTTTTGCAGGTTATTTAAAGTCAGAGAATATTTTTAGAATGTAAGAATTTTCTTTTTAGATAATAATGGTTCAGTGAGACAAGTCTTACTAATTAACCCATAGCTGGGGAGAGGATAACAGCATTCATACCTTTCCCAAGGGCATTTGTGCGTAAGAGAATATAACGAACCCAAAGGGAACTGAAACTCAGCTTTCTCATTACCATATTATCCATTACATCATTAGCACATGGTACCCCCAAGCAATCACCCATCTAGGTACTGACCAGACTCGACGTTGCTTAACTTTGGTGATCAGACGAGATCGGTGTTTCAACGCTCTATAGTCGTAAGTTAACATCTTGTTGATGTGCTACTGATATTTACATCTACAAAACACCATATTGCATCCTTTTTATTCTTCATGGATGATATACTTTTAATCATTTCATCCCAAGCAAGGCGACAATGCCACTAAGACGCAAGGGGTTACTGGGTGTGAAAGAGGACGGAAGACTTTAGTGAGGAGAAAGTAGAATAAAAGAACAGGATTCAGGAAGACAGAAGATGGCGGTTGACGTTGCGTTTCAATTTTGACAAGGAAGCAGTAATACAGAAGAAAGGTACACAGGCGAGAAGTGCGAGAAAGGAAACTATTAGAATAGACTTACATCTTGCTAATTCAATAATAAAACAGTGAGACCTAATTACCAATCTAGCAGTGCGTTTAAATTTATGCAGTCAAGATACTCAGAAGGAAAACTCAGAAGAGTTGATATTATTAGTTTTAAGAAATTAGTATATTCTTCGACTGAAAATCAGTGTGAATGTCTTGTAAGTCCTGGATAAACACTTAATGAGTAATAAGGTGGGGAGGGGTTTGTTATCGGTGGGGGAGGGGTTTGTTATCGGTGGGTGTGGTTAGGGTTAGGGTGGATTAAATAAAAGATGGTTTGGGTTTGTAATTCTGGATTTTGATACGAGTTATTTATAGCATTAGAAATCAAATTTGGTAATTGTTTGTTCTTACACAGGAAAACATTTAACCAGAGTTTAAATGTGCGATCGGGTCTTGGAGATTACAATCTTTGAATTTTTGCGAGTGTATCTACTTTAACACTGTTCATTTCTTTCTTCTCTTCGCTGTTCTTAATCTATTCTGTGTGACGTTTATAATTCATTTCACTTCTCCATGTCTTCTTCCCCGAAATTTCTCATTTCTTGTCTTCCGTTGATTTCTTCATTTCCATACCGAAATTTCCCTCCGTCTTTGGAATTTGTTGTTTGGCTAATAAAACTCATTGCCTTTCTGATATCTTTCTTTGTGCTTTTGCTTGAATAACTTCTTTTAGGATCGCTTTCACAATCGCTATGTTATTATTTGTTTTTTAATAATCTCGTTTCATTATTAACAATCAACTGCATTTCGCGCATGCGCAGGTGGAAAGCGACAAGGAGTAGAACAATCGGAGAGTCGAGTTTGTTATATTCACTTATAAGCAAATACCTTTGGGGATGGCATGAATGCATCCCATCCCCTCAGTTAAATAATAGGACTCGTATCTAGAAAAAAAAAAATAAGATTCTCAAATAATTTGTAATGCAATATTTATGAGCAAAAATATAAAAAAATAAAAAATTAAAACCCCAAAATATTTTTAAGATTTAAATAACCAACAAAGGGTTGATAAGCCGTAAAAACAAATCGCGAATTCTTCATTTAATAGTGAGAGGTCTACCAGGAGAGTTTCAATCTTTCTCTTTTTCCATAATGGTTAGCTACAATCATTTCTTGGTTTTGTCGTGTCTATAAAGAAATACATAAAAAATAATTATACTCTCACGGTGTCGTGTCTATAAACAATCGATAAAAATTAATTATAGAGTCAAAAATAATTACAATAAAGTACTTATAACAATTATAATTATCATAAATTCACTCATTCTAAACTAATGCAAATCGGCCCCATTTTTCTCCCCTCCCCACACAAACACATGACATTCTCACTATTGGACAAGCAGTTCACACGGACAGGTGCGTCAAAGAAAATTTAGTCCCCTTTTCCTTCTCAGGCCATAATAGTAACATTTATATTTTAGCACTTAACAAAATTTCGAGGTAAGAAACTTTGTTCAAATCAACAGCACCTTCCACAGTATCATCACGTATCTCGGCGTATGGATAATTTATGGACGGAACGAATAAGCAACAAGGAAGCCTTAAAGAAAATGTCAACAGAAAGAACTTTTCCTTAGAATCAGGAAAAAGCAGCTGAATTTGCTTAGGCACACGAGAAAGTAGGGCTTTGAAATCTTAACACTCACAAGGGGGAGTATAGTATTAATGACAAGAGAGATAAGAAGAGGAAACAAGCCACATTACCTAAGGAGTTATCAAATTTTTAGACCTTTCTATCCCTAATTCCTGAAATGAGCAAACAGTTCTGTCTTTTTCGTTCGTCTCCATCACTTCCACCTCCCCCCTCCAAGGTCAGTTTCATGCGGAGATCGCAGCCTACCGCACCCTTCGGTTGCACTGGTATCGGTATTATACTGAAGATACACTATTGAGAGATTTAATGCAGTTTGAGCGCCTTAACGCAGATACAGCACTTTGACCTTAAGTAGAAAAGCCTAATGAGCAAACATACAAAATAATAATATAGAAAATTTCATTTTATTTTTTTGCATATTGACAAGATGTTTGTGAAGATTCAGTGAAAGTAAATCTTCCAAAATTTCAAGCACTTTACTCGATATTGTTGCAGACACAAGATCTGTTGTAGTGTGGATTGTCTGAAGCTTTCACGGAAATTGAATACTACCTCAAGTCTTGGGTCTATTTTTCACACTTGTAAGCCATTTTCAAGTCTTGGGTCTATTTTTCACTCTTGTAAGCCATTTTCAAGTCTTGGGTCTATTTTTCACACTTGTAAGCCATTTTCAAGTCTTGGGTCTATTTTTCACTCTTGTAAGCCATTTTCAAGTCTTGGGTCTATTTTTCACACTTGTAAGCCATTTTCAAGTCTTGGGTCTATTTTTCACTCTTGTAAGCCATTTTCAAGTCTTGGGTCTATTTTTCACTCTTGTAAGCCATTTTCTGCATTGGGTTTTTTTCTAATAGTTTCATTTATTTCTTCATAATTATTCGTTTGCTCTGTTTCGTCTGGCCCACCTTTAATATTATTTTTCTTCTTCTTCTTATCATCATCAACATCATCACCATCATCATATTTTGTATACACATTTCCTTCCACTTCCAGGTCCTAAGCAGAGGGTATTTATTCTGAACTCTACAGTATTGTGGCACAAGGCCAAGAGGGAAATTGTGAGGAAACGGTCTTCATTAGCTATTCTAGTCCTAGCTAATCAGAATCACGACCCATCTATTCATAACAATTTATTCACCACAAGAACTCATCCATCACCTCTCAATCCTACATATACCACAACATCACATATTCGATTGGAATTGAACTCAGGTCTCCCAGCCCTCAGTCCCAGCCCTCAGTCTGAGCCGCTACTCACTACACCACCACCGTTCCTAATTTATGATTATAATTAATACAAATCAAATTTGTCACTTGGCTGATAGATGTTATATTAATCTATTTTCAATTCATATATATATATATATATATATATATATATATATATATATATATATATATATATATATATATATATATATATATATATATATATATATATATATATATATATATGAAGAATGAAAGAAAAGAAGGAAAGAAAGAAAGTACTTGTACGCATTTGAATATATATTTTGCTACTAGTCACTTGGTTTTGATAATTAATCACAGGAACATTAAGCAAGAAGAAGAAAAAGGGTTTTGCAATTAATAAACCATGACAATAAGGTAGTCATATTTTACGGTTCTGAAGCGTTATTTTGGGGAAAAGGTTTTTTTTCTATTCTTCTAAAATCTGGTTCAGGATTGATCAAGAGATTAACACTGTCATTACTCTTTGAAAGTATTGCCAAACTTTTAACTTAATGTGGAACCTCTGCTCAAAATCTTTTTTATACACCCAGGAAATAAAAAGCAAAATGTCTTGTTATGCTGACTGCAGTACAATTTGATTCTTCTTGTGTAATCTTCCTGTTTTAACTCTGACAATCGATTACTAGCAAACCGTCTGTTTGTTCACATATTTATAAAAATATTCTATATTTAGGTGTGAGTGAGAAACAAAGATAAAGAAGAGAGACTATACACACACACACATGTATGTATGTATGTTTGCATGTACACGCTTCAGACAATGTATGTAAGAGTAACTATAGAGACAAGAAGAGAATGATACTTTTGAAAGAGAAGGAAAAATTACTGTGAAAAAACTAGAAAAGTAAACAAAGAGAGATTTTAACAGGAAGAAAAAGAAAGAAAGAAAGAAAATAAAAACAAAAACAGACAAAATATAAAAAAGGAAGCAAAAAACAAAATCTGAAGATTACATGAGCGAGAGGTTTTGTAATATAAAAACAGTGAAATTAAATTCCGCTAGCCTAGAGCATTGAAAGTTTTATTAACATGTTGGCTCCCATATGACCCAAGAAAGGGTCGTGGTGGTATGTCTGCAAGGTACACACGACCCTCTGGAGGGTCGTTTTCCAATTACTTTTCTATGAAGATTTTGGGAGTGGGATGCTATGATTGATTGCTTGAGATCATCGTACAACAGAACCACATTTTTTCCCCAAAATCTTATTTCATTTTCCTTTTGGAATTTCTACTGATGTTTTTTTTTATGGTGGTATATTTTTATGTTTACATAAACAGAGTTGTACCATGCATTGTTGTGTGTGGTGTGGGACTCTGGGTTTTAAAATGGATTCATGTGCCGAAGGTCAAACCATTGAGTCATTGGTAATAAATACTAGCCATGATATCCTTGCGTCATATATGAAAAAATATTAATGAAGATACTATGTTGGGATCCTGGAACAACAAGGGAAATAAAGTTTGGGAGCCAAAGCGGGAAAGGAGTTGCACCTAGTACCAAGAAACAAATTTGGAATCTCTTTTTCCTGGCAAACATTTACAATAATAATAAATATATTCATTTGACCAAACATGTACTGTCTTTTATGTAAACTAAAAAAAGGTAAACAAAAACACTTGATATATCGATTTGAAACAATATATATATATTTGAAACCAAATATATATATATATATATATATATATCTATTATGAAATTATATTTTTATGTTTATTCATTCTTTTTATAGATACAAATATTTAAGTAAATGCTCTGTTTATAATAAACAGTATTAAACAACATTTACCGGCCTGAATGTCCGAGAAATTTTCACAGAAAATATTCGTC